ATCTCTAGTCTTTTCCCTGCTCATATTGTGGTGGTGGTGGGGTTACTGTTGAGTTGCTGATTATATTTGTAAATAACCAAGTAAGCAATAAGGCACTGAGCTGAGATAGTGTGGTTGGAGACCAAGATCTATTTCATTGTGACTTCACATAAATGGCTTGAATTCTGATCAGTTAGGGAAAGAAAGGCATTAACAAAAAAAACAAAACAAATTTCAAACATTGCTGCTTAGCAGCTGCTTAGAAACATCTGGTTAAACATATTTATGCCTGTGGTTGAAGATATAATTAGACAAGAACCTTGTAAGAACATGGGTGGAACTATGGTTTGGAAAATGCAGGCCAATTCTTTTATGTGCCAGCTTATCGTGATGTTGGAATCTTCAGTACATGGTTGAGAAGCTTGGTCTCTTCTCTTGCAACATGACCTTCAAAGTACAAAGAGCTTGTGGTTAGTTGGGGGTGCATTTTTTCATGCAGCTAGAACCACTTCATGTTCTTATAGAATTCAACTTTGGAGAAGGCGGACAGCAGTTTAAGAGCATTTGACTATGTAACATGATGATTGCGGTTAGAGATGCTTCACGTGCGACTTTTTATTTTGCTTTGCCTGTCTTGGCTGAATATAAAACTCACAGAGATTGGTTACAGAAATGGTAATGCGAGTGCTCTCTTTTTTTGGGTTGTTATTATCTATTTTTATTCTAGTTAAGCCGGAAAATTCTGTCTTCCTATAACAAGCTCTCTTAATATTAGAAGTGATCTTACATTAGATTCAAAGGGGTTCCCTTGCTTATTTAACAATTTTTGTCAGTGGAATAAATACTCTTGCCATTTTCCAACTTAGTTTATATCCTAAATCTCTTCTGTGGAGCTTCTGGGGTATATTTGCTCTGTGTTTGTGGTTGGTATGCATGAGGGGTCAGAGTGAAGAAAGTGTGAATATACAAGAAGTTTGTGTAATTTTCAGGTGTAGCAAATTCATTCTTGGATCCTATCTTTTTGTTCCATGAGCAGGAAATGAATTGAATGGTAAAACATTTTGTTTGTGAAGCTAGTAGTTGATTTTAGGGAACCTTGCAATTGCAAACACAATAAAGGAGCGTCAGTGAAACCTCTCTGTGAAGAGCATTTCTGCAGCTGGAGTGTCAGTTCCAAAAATATCTATCTCCTGTAGTCTGTCACCTCCCCTCAGATAGTCAGAACATCTGAAACAGATCCTTTTTCCGTTTAAGACCTTAATGTTTGGTAAGACACTATGGAACCAAGTGATCTTTCAACTATGTTAGCCTTTAGCTCTGAAAAGCTTTGAAGATCAAAGACAGCACTTTGAATTATGTTTCAAAATTGCCTGGAAGCCAATGCAATGGGCACAACACAGGTAGAAAATGGTAATTCAGTCTAATACAGCTAGCCTCACTGCATAAAAGTTCCAGTTTGCTATTGTATGTCTCAAGCAGGTACAGCCGTATACCTCATATGTTCCTTTTTTAAACAGAATCCAGGATCATAAAAGCACATTATTTTAAGTTAATAATTAAGAGCACGTTCTTTTGATTTATGAATAAAAAGCAAATTGATGGGATATAAATTTGATGTCAAGAGATTGAAATGAAATTAAAAGATTGTAGAAATTGAAGCCAAGCTATCTTTATTTATGTATATTATATATAGATAGATATATGTATTTATTTTCAGTCTAGGGTATTATATCCTTTACATGTTTGAGATATTCATAATAACTTAGTTTGCTAGTATTTCAGTGTATGTTAAGTATTGGCATATTTGTTTTGTTACTGGCTCATTCAGTCTGTGCTAATAAAAAAGTTGTCATCAATTGAAAATAAAGTTTGAAATAAATATATAAATTAGTTTTATCTTGCAACATTTTAAAGTCTGTTAACAGGAAAAGATATAAAGAACAATAATTGCTTTCCCTCCTAAAAGACACAGCACACATGGATTTATTTGTGAATTTTTATTCATTTATCTATTAAACCACGCATGCCATACATCTCACCAGTAAAACACTTCTGGGTGATAGAATCATCTGTATATTTGATATTCTATATAAAATATTTTCTTCTTGTCTAGAAGAATGCAACGAAATTAAATTGTTTCAGATAAATCTTATAAAGATTTAAAACTTATTTTAGAAAATTTTAGATGGCTTATGCAAATGCTTTCTCTTGGCATTAAATATTATCTCTTTATTATTTGTAATAGAAACAATGATTTTTTTCAGAGGCAAGCATGTGCTTGTATGATAGGAAAACTGTTCAAATAAATTAAATTAGCAAATTAAAATTGCACTTAAAACGCGTACAAATAGAAATATCAAATAGGACCCATATTTATAATTCATACGTTTCTAAGAGGATAATAACTGATGATGGGTAAAGCGTGAAGTGCCTTACTTAGCAAGGAGCTTTAAAACTGTGAAAAGCAAACTTTTCTTTAAGGAAATATATAGCATGAGTGGTCCAGGAAAGAAAGATGTGAGAAGCTACATCCAAAGTGCACATACATTTCTTCTTTGTATAGCAAATAATACAACTATGTAGAATTCCTTTTAAACCAGGCCCATGAAGATATCAAATTCACTCTTTGGTTAACCAGCCTCTATGGCAGACAGCTAGCAAAACAGAATAATGTAACTATTCTATAAAATATGTAGAACTTTTGGTTCTTATTTTTTTGAATCTTTGCACTAAGCCACTGCTGAGTTTTTTTAAAAAGCTGTTGAAAGTTCTAGTAAGAGTGAAGACTAGATGGTGGTGAAATGCATCCCACAATAAAATAGTGATAGACTGCTAGTACAAATGTAGAGTTTATTATGTGCATTTCTTGTTCACCTAAAAGCAGTAATTATCAAGTTCTAGCATGAAAAAGGGTAAGAAAGAAACTAAAAAAGAATCAATATATTGCTGTGAATTATACTATATACCAAAGGGTATTAGTAGTCAGAGATCAATTAATCAATCAATCAATCAATCAATCAATCAAAATAGAGCTGGAAGGGTTCTTGGAGGTCTTCTAGTCTAATCCCCTGCTCAAGCAGAAGACCTTATACCATTTCAGACAAATGACTGTCCAGTCTCTTCTTAAAAATCTGCAGTGATTAAGCACCCACAACTTCTGACGACAAACTGTTCCACTGTTAATTATTTTCACTGTTAGGAAGTTTTTCCTTAACTCCAAGTTGCTTCTCTCCTTGATTAGTTCCCATCCATTGTTTCTTGTCCTGCCCTCTGGTGCATAAAATCCTAAATTAAAAACTGAGATTAATATGAAAACTACAAGATAAAGGTAAAGGTTCCCCTCGCACATATGTGCGATGGGACAGTGCTCATCTCTGTTTCAAAGTCAAAGGACCAATGTTATCCAAAGACATCTTCTTGTCATGTGGCCGGCATGACTAAATGCTGAAGGCACACAGAACGCTGTTACCTTCCCACCAAATGTAGTTCCTATTTCTCTACTTGCATTTTTAGGATTTTATGCACCAGAGGGCAGGACAAGAAACAATGGATGGGAACTAATCAAGGAGAGAAGCAACTTGGAGTTAAGGAAAAACTTCCTAACAGTGAAAATAATTAACAGTGGAACAGTTTNAATATTATTATGCAAAAATAAAAAGTTAAGGTTTGATGTTATCTTATTCTACCTCACCAAAGGGAGTCGGAAGCCAACACCTTTTTCCCCCTTTGCCCCACTTTCCCTTTTTCTCTTTTTCCCACTTTTTTTGCATTTTGTAATATCTATTATAAACAAGCAAAGAATTGAGGCCAAATAGTTCAATCTTGGTTTCATCAGGTCAAAGAAACGTGTTCCTCATAGTCTGAGAATACTTCAGGTGCTTTTTTATTTTGCAAACTCCAAGTGGGCTTTCGTGTGGTTTTCACTGAGGGGGGGGGGGCTTCTATCTAACCACTCTGCCATAAAACCCAGATTGGTGGAGGGCTGCAGGAGGATCTCTGTCCCATCTCCACACAGGATCTTGGTCAGAGTGTCCACCTGGTTCTTGATCACCTAAGACCCTTCTCCCCCGACTGCTCAGTTTGACTGGGCAACCAGCTCTTGGAAGAGCCCTGGCTGTGCCAAACTTCACCCATTGGAATGGAGACCACTGTGTTCTTTGGAAGCTTCAGCGCAGCAGAAATCTTATTGTAGCCTCCCCCAGATCTGTGCTTTGCAGTAATCCTGTCTCTGAGCTCTGCAGGCAGTTCCTTTGACCTCGTGGCTTTTGCTCTGCTACAGTGTGCATTGCCAGCTGTAACCTCTGTAGAGACGTGTGTGCCTCTCTATAGAAGTCACAGCTCCCAAATCACGTCCAATCAATTTAATTTACCTCCGGTAGATTCCAATCAAGGTGTAGAAACATGTCAGCAATGATCAAGAGACCTGGGAGGCATCTGAGCCAAATTTCAAGTGTTGTTGCAAAGGGTCTGAATGCTTATGCTATGATATTTCCGTTTTTTCTTTTTAATAAATTTACAGATATTTCTAAAATTCTGTTCTCATTTTGTCATTATGGGGTACTGCATAGATTAATGAGGGAAAAAATGAATTTCAACAATTGTAGAATCAGGCTCCAACATAACAAAATGGACAAAACTGAAGCGGGTCTGAATACTTTCTGAATGCACTGCAATTGTACAAAAGTGCACTTTTAAAATTCTCACTGATTTTACAAATCTCCAATAAAGTTTAAAAAAAAACACACAGCCGTCAGCTTTCCTGTATTGCTTCTGCCTGAGGCAGAGGTATCGTCTTTCTCTACTCTTCTTCTTGCCTTTTTACTCAGTGATCTCTCTCTTTTCAAATTGTAAAAAACATTTGATTCAATTCAACCTCACCTAATTGAAAGGACTCTACTGATTGCTGAGAATTGATTATATTGAAAACTCTTTACTAGTTGTGAGGATTTGTTATATTGAGTACTTTCTTTCTCACCTACAAATGAAACTTAGATTTAAATAAAGGTCTTTCATGCTAATGCTTCAGAATGTGATTTATTTGTGATATAGAAAACATTAACGGGAAACAAAGCTCTCAGCAGAAGCACAGTCATGACTATAGATCTAAGTAATCTCTTTAAACAAATTCAGTGACAATTCACAATTCAATTCAATTTCACCATACAGAGAATGAGAAAAAATAATAATCTTGACATGCTGAGGCTCATATTAAGATCACAGCAATCAGAATGGTACTAACAAACTTTCTGAGACTTTGTAAGATTTCAATGCAGAATGACAATAATTTCAGTACATACAATAATAATTAATAGTTTACAGAACACGAACAAAAAAGGAAAATTCAATAGATTTTGAGAATCTGAATCTTCAGATAGATATGGAAGTAAGTGTATCTATTTTTGTTTCAGTACATAATTTCAATATCTTTTAATAAAATTTCAGTAAAATTTAAATCTCAACATTTATGTTATCACAATTCTAGGAAAGTGATTCCTTAACAGGCAATAGTTGGAATGCCATCACACAGTCAATAAGCCAGGTGGAGGGCACTTCCCAAACCTTCCCCTGGCGAAGCTTTTGTGGTCTGTAGTTGGAAGAGGCATCGTAGATTATGTACTGTGTACAGAAACTCTGGTCAGATGTCATCTCAGCATGATAGGCTACCGTATTGATTGTCTGAGTGACATCATTGTCTGATTTAGGCTTTCTTAGGAGAATCTGTCCTCCTCCAGCTTTCACCAGTTCTTTGAGGTCGTCTTTCTTGTGCTCTTTAAATGTTCCCAGGAAATAAAAGTAGCAGCCATCAAAAAGTTTTGGCAACTGAAATAAAGAAAAAATTGTTCTCATCCATGCAGCACACAATTCTGAGATTAAGCCACAATTTCCTATTTAATAAACCTCTACAATCAACCAGTTCAGCTAGCTTTTGTTGATCTGTGAGTTGTATTGCGATTATGGCATGTAAAATACCAAATCAACCAGCAACAAATTAAGGACTAGAAATTGTTTAAAAAAAGTGGGTGAAGATAGAAACAGGAGCCCAGGATTGGCAGAATGGAACAGAACAGAACAAAGAAGAGGAATGGCTCCAAAGAAGGAAAACAGACATGTAGCCTATTCTCGGGGATAAAAAAGGAGTGAACAGTCCTGTGGATGGAAGAAATGGAATGAGAGGAAAAAGGAAACAAAACAGTATTGTGAAAAAAAATATCACATCAGTTATGTTATAGAAATGAGGGATAGCCAATAGATCAAATAAAAAAAATGTGGAGCTTTGCAACAGAAGAAGCTGTTAGGAACAGGTAAAGAGATAAAAGAGCCTAAACTTCATATATGGATTAAAAATAATCTGAACTTGGTGTGCATGTGTTTCATCTTAATTAACAAATGATTGCAAAATGTTTCTAGATGTGGGAGGAGAAACAAATGTAAGATGCACTAGGACATATTAAGTATAATTTTCCTATTTGCATAACAACATACACAGGGGAGGACAAGGATACCAAACTGTTTTGCTAACCAAAATCACTGATGTACTAAACTTTATCAAAGATGAATCCATTCTACTTCAGGTAATAGCTGTAAACATTTTTCCAAAACTTATCAAAAAACCAATATTCAGGAACATTTATTGACAATAAAAATCCACTTATAGTTAAAAATTGCATTTTCAATTTAATTTAGCTATCTATCATTTCTCAAAACCAAATGTTGGCGAAGTATTATTCTTCCCTTGCCTGAAAAAAAAGACAGAAACACTGATTTAAAAAAAAAAGGTCCTCACAAGCTGCTCTGTGTTCAGGCGGCCTCGTCGAGGACCACCGTCTTCTTCATATTTCTCTTCTTCTTCGAAAGTGCCGCTCGCAAAGCTGGCTTCGACCCCTGTAAGTTGGAAAAGAAAGTTTAAAAAAAGGAAATGTGGCTATTTTCTGCAAATCCAGAAGTGGCTTTGGGGAGGGGGAATCGGAAGGATTGGGGGGGGGGGGAAATCGTGAAGATAACAGATGGACATGTGCCAAACAAAGAGAAAGGCTCAATACCAGATGAGAATTAAGTCATCAAATTAGTCAATCAATCAGAATGCAGCTGGAAGAGACCTTGGAGATCTTCTAGTCCAGCCTTTTCTTAAAAACTTCCAGTGAGGAAGGTTCTGAAGGGAAGTTGCTCCTCTGCTCAATTGTCCTAACTGTTAATTCCAGGTTGCTTCCCTCCTTGATTACCCATCGTTTCTTCTCTTGCCTTCTGGTGCTTTGGGAAATAAGTTGTCCCCCTCTCTTTGTTGCAGCCCCTCGAATACTGGAATGCTGCTATCATGTCACACACACACCCCCAATCAGGGTGTCGGCAACCCGCGGCTCTTTCACCCCTCCGCTGTGGCTCCCTGTCGCGGCAGAGGGATGAAAGAGCTGTCAGGACGAAAGGGCGGAGCTTTAGGGCAGGAGCGAAGAGCCCCTGTACTTGTCTTTGCGCAGCAACAGGATTCCGCCTTCATCGTAGTACATTTGCTGTTGCTGCCATCAAAGGGCTGGGAGACAACGACGGGATGGATCTTACAGGGTGGCGGCCATCGCCCAAGCCTGGCCTTCCTCCTCCCTCATTGGCAAGGCCAAGAGAAAGAAGGGGGTGGAATGGGGAAGCTCACACCCCCCCCCCCGGCCAAGCACCAAGCACAAAAGCCCAGCGGGAGGGAGGCGGACCCAGCAGAAGTGCCCCCATTGGCGAGTCAGATGTTGGAGAGACCTGGCCCGGTTCTCACAGCAGAACACTGTTTGGCACCTCCAGACACGAGCTGCCGCCTTTGAAATTAAGTGCACCTTTGAGGAAACTGGGCAGCAATGGCTGGGGCTGGGGGAAGCAGAGGCATCAGGGATGCTTCCCCCCTCAGCAAGCTGGGCCTGGAAGAGCACGGAGCATTGCAGGCTGAGCACCGAAGGTTAAGAAACTCCCACATCACCTCAATACACATTTCCAGCACTTGCTCTTCTGTCCCTAAGTGGGATTGACTGGGGAGTAGGGGGTAGGGGAAAGAGAGGAGGAAAGAGGGGAAAGGGTAGTGGAGCTTCCTATGCCCAGGTATGATGCCAAAGGAGAAGCAACAGCTGAACACATGTTAGGGGAGCTCCATGGTCAGTTTTTCCCATCTACCACCACCCCGCCTCTCGTCCTTGATGTGCTTTTTCTTCTGTCCGTGGAATGTGCGTGAACGGTTGTCAGGATTCCCAGAGGTAGATCGCAACCCCCAACAGCTGGGCTTTTCGCCTCCCATAGCACAGGCTGTGTGTGGGGAAGGCCCTCAAAAGCAAGGACGCCCAAGCCGGCTTTGTCTGCTTTTCTTGCTAATGTCTCTTGAACTGATCCTAGAGGACAAGCCTTGGGCGGGGGTAAGGCGCAGTGCCCCCTCCTTGGCTTGCCACTCGGAGGTCAGAGGCTGGGGTTTTTGAAACAACGTATCTATTTTTTTCTTTGACTTCACTGACTTTGTAGCTGAAGGGTTTGCAACTTGTTTACAGAAACTGATAAAGAGCCAAGGCCAGGAATTTTAGTAACAGCTGNAAAGTAATTCTCCCACGGCACACCTTACACTATGTCACGGCACACTAGTGTGCCGCGGCACAGTGGTTGAAAAACACTGCACTAGTGGACGGTAGGAACAGGTTGACTGCCACTGGTTTAGAGGCAGCATGGAATAAATTGTACTGATTTGAATAACCCGGATTCCTGATTTCTTGCACCTGAAATCATTATACCTTGGAGGCAATGGGTATTTTTCATAAATATTATAACTCTGAGAGCAAATATTGTTGTTGATTTATAATAAAAATGAACAGAGCTAAATGCAATTTATTCTGATTATATTTAAAAAGTATAAGGGTAATATAGCTGTTTTTGAGTGAACAAGAGGTTCAATGTTTTGGGAAACTAGAATCATATTGCACAAGATTTTCAATTTATGAAGATTCTTAGATGAAAAAAAACTATAATAATAATACTACATCTTATTTGGGGTATTTCTAAAGCTTTGTAATCATTATATAATCAACTTATAACTATACATTTAATGATAGTTTGAACTTACGACAACTTTGCAAGAGGTTGTTACAACTGATACCTAAAAGTTACAAATATTGGAAGGAGGAGCCAACATCATGATGTTACAACGTGCGGTCTCGACACTCCGAGACCGCGATTAATACTTTTGCCACTGGACAGTCCATTTGGACCTAAACTATCCCGCAGAGATGGTGATCAGGAAGACGAACACTTGCTGGTCTCAAGGACATCGTAAAGTCCCTGATTGACCCAAGGGAAGCTCTTCAAGCCAGTGGTAAATAGGCAGCCTCAGGCCGATGAAGTCAGGATGACTCTGGAAGGAAATGAAAAGAGAAAGTGAGTCCATCTGGTGAGGTATTTTTTCTATTTTGGGAAAGACTGTCCAAAGAAACTTTTTAAAAGCCAAATTAGATCCTTAAGCAAAAGAATTAAGTGGCGATATTAACTTATATTGGATTGCCTTGGAAAGCTTTTTTTTTCTTTGTAACTATACTTTGTGGATTGAAGTGCTCGCAACGTTTCTCCTCTTAAAATGAACAAATTCATTTTTTTATTCTGCTTTTTGTTGCTTTATTTTTTGACTTCTGGATTAAAACCTTCATTTTTATTTTAACAATTCTTACTACTACTTGTTATTAAATTTCATTAAAGAAATTTAAAGAACTTTGTTTCCTATAAGCCAGAGATAAATATTAGAAAGTGAAAAGTAGCAACAATGCCACTTGGAGGTTAGAGGCTGAAGTTTTTGAAACAATGTACCTTTTCTCTTTTCTTCTTTGATCTTACTGACTCTGTAGCTGCAGAGTTTGCAACTTGTTTACAGAAACTGATAAAGAACAAAGGGGACGAATTGTTTTTGCAGGTGCTTTTGAGAACTATTTTGGCAGGGGAGAGAAAGGGGGGGAAACAGAATCCTTCTCTTTTGAAGAGCATAAAAGGTTGTGTTTAAGTCAACCTAGGAGCCGAGGTGGCGCAGTGGTTAAATGCAGCACTGCAGGCTACTTCAGCTGACTGCAGTTCCGCAGTTCGGCTGTTCAAATCTCACCAGCTCAGGGTTGACTCAGCCTTCCATTCTTCCGAGGTGGGTAAAATGAGGACCTGGATTGTTGTTGGGGGCAATATGCTGACTCTGTAAACCGCTTAGAGAGGGCTGAAAGCCCTATGAAGGGGTATATAAGTCTAACTGCTATTGCTATTGCTAACCTAAAATAAAAAAATAAAAGAGGCTGGAAGGCTAGAGTGGCAGTGGCTATTAGTTTTTTTCCCCTCCTTTTTGGGAAACATGGATCAATCTTCAGATGAGGAAACCTTAAAATTCCAAAATATCTTGGCTGGAATTCAAAATCTATTGGAAGGATATGGGAGAATTGAGAAGTTGGAAAGACTAGTGTTCCTCACAGCAAAAGATGAAGGGGTTGGAGCCCCAAAAATTAAAGGGGAGAATGAAGACATAGAAGATAAAGACAAGACAATAGATGAATTTATTAATGGAGCAAATGTGGGTGAAGTTGGAAAGAAGGGAATATGGAAAAAAGAATTCAACGAACTGGAGCTCTACCCCAGATTCCAAGATACAGAAGAAGAAAAAGGATAATGATGATGGATTTAAGAAGAGAATTTTTTTCAGAAGCATGATTGACAACCAAAAACAAGCTAATTTTAATAACAGCTGAAGGGCAACGAGATTACCTGAGAGATCCTTCAAGCAACAAAGTGTGGAGAGAAGTCTATAAAAACCTTATAAAGGAGATAAAAAGAAGGCTGACACCACAATTGGCAAGAGAGATAAGACTGTTTTGTTACTGGAAAGATACAGGTTGACAATGAAAGTTGATAATAAAAAATTAGTTAATTTTGGTGATCAATAAGTAGGAATTTAGTTAGTTCTTAGATTGTTTTAGATTATTATTAAATGTTTATTCATGAACAAATAATTAACTATAATAACAATAATGAAATGATAATGGATACAGCTTAGTGATATATACATGTACTGGCAAACTAGTAAAAGAAATTTGGATATAAATTGCAAATTGCGATCTGGGAAAAAGACCTATAAATTTTATTAACAATTTTTTATTTAGATCTTGTCATAAAGGTGTAATTATTGAAGGATTTTTTGAAATAGCTAATGAATGCCATTATGTGGTTGTGTCTTTAAGTATGATGTGAGGCAAAAGCACATTCAAATAATTGTAGTCAAATGAGAATTGTGGTACATTGATAGTAAGATATACAAAGATTTTTGACTTAAAGTGTATAATCTAATATGAACTATAAGTAATGACTGTGGAAGAAATACATGAAAGTTATCTGTAACCAATCGACACACTTTCTACAAGATGTAATGAAGGATGATTCTTTTTTGTGTGTTTTTGTTCAATTAAAAAAAAACTTTTCAAAAAAAAGTTACAAATATTGCACCATCCCTGCAGTCACATACTCACAATTTGGATTCTTGATAACTGATTCACATTTAGAATGACTGCAGCATCTTGCAATTGGGTTATCACAATTTATGACTTCCCAGTCAGCTTCTGACAAGGAAAATTAAGTGTGGAAGTCACTTGGCCACTGTGTGATTAACATACAGTAATGATCTTATGATTCACTTCACAACTATGATAAAAAAATGTTCATAAAATTGGATCCAATCACATAATGACTTGCTTAATGACTGTTGTTTAGCAGTCAAAATTCTGGTCCAAACTGTGGCCATAATTTGAGGACTATTTTTGATTTTGAGACTATAAAAAATGCTCTGAAGAATACTTCAAGAAATTCAGTGAATCTACTGTACATATAATGAATGCTACCAAATATAAATCTTGTCACATGTGCAAAATTTTGTTTATACTTGGTATCTCTGAGTAGAACAATAATTACATATGATTCTGCAGTACATAGGGTGGAATGGAAATAACAATTGGAAAGTTATGAAGACCAAGAAATCAAAAGGGAGTTTAATATTACTTTTTTAAAAAACTGAGAATCCCAAGGATGCTTTTTTTTTTCCTTCAAAGGCAACTGGACTTTCTTAGTTTTTCATTAAGACATTTTGCTCTCAACCAAGAAGCTTTTTCAGTGAACTGAAGAAGCTTCTTGGATGAGAAGTAAAATGTCTTCAAGAAAAAGCAAAGAAGGTCCAGTTTCCTTTTGAAGGGATGGGGGAAGCATCTTTGGGACAAACACGATTCCAGATAACTGAGAATTCCCAAAGACTTTTATTGAGAATAGCTTGCAAATCTTACTGTGCTATACCTCCTCCTTCTTTTTCTTACACTTCAGTAAATTAGAGAGGAACCTGAATTGCTCTTAAATATTAGCTCATTGTTCTGAACTCAAAAAGCATTTAATCCCCTTTTGTCTCTGGGATAGTTCTTGCATATTTCCATCAAGATCATCATCTTGTCTTCCTGCAGGAACACTGCCAGACAACTCATTTTGATTTCCGATTTTCTGAAACTTTTCAATATGAATTAAAAGATTTTAGAACAGCCTTCCCTATTCTGATGTATTCCAAGTCAGTTGGGAATATATCTCTGCATATTTCCAATCAATTTGTCAGTTAAAATTACATATTTTTAATTAAGAAAGTGTTTCAAGAAACTTATATGGAATACTTAAGCATTTAAGGACTTTAGGTGGATCTTCAAATTTGCATTAACATTGATTTTTTTCAAGACGCAGAGTGGTCACCATGATATTAAAAAATGTTGAGACTCTAGAAAGAGTACAGGGAAGAGCAACAAAGATGATTAAGGAATTGCAGGCTAAAACATATTAAGAACAATTGCAGGACCTGGATAGGTCTAGTCTAGTGAAAAGAAGGACTAGGGAAAACTTTATGCTAACAGTTTAATAGAGGCTCAATCTATTCTCCAAAGCACCTGAAGGCAGAACAATGGATGGAAACTAATCAAGGAGAGAACCAATCTAAGAAAAAAAAATCCTGGCTGTGAGAACAATTAACCAGTGGAACTTGCCTTCATATGTTGTGGGTGCTTCATCAATGGAGGTTTTTAATAAAATATTGAACAAACATTTGTCTGAAATGGGATAGAGTTTCCTACTTAAGCAGGGACTGGACTAGAAGATTCGAAGGTCCCTTCCAACTTTATTCTGACGAAGCTTTTATGACATCACAACAAAGTGTTGGAAGAAATGTCCATCTGGCTTCAGCTCCAAGTGGGGGAAAAGACACTGGAAACATGGAGGCTGCTTGGAAAGATGGTTTAATGGCAGACAGGATCACATGGCTTGAGTTCCTGAACAGAAAGGGAGTGGGGGTCATATGCAATGTTCCCTCTAATTTTTTTTCAGTGTGAGCAGAAAAGTATAGTGTTTGAGCGGCACATTTTCATG